AATTCTAAGTCCGGAACACTTATGAAAGTACTTTAACAAAATAAGAATGTGCTTAACTGACACCTGATCCCCCCAAAAAAGCGTGGTATCATCTGCATACCCTAAAATTCGAATTTCATTGTCATGAGGCAAATGTACTCCTTCAATATCCTTACTGGCACGTATAGAAATGGAAAGGAGTTCGATAGCAATTACAAACAGTGCAGTCGATAAAGGACAGCCCTGTCTTATACCCCGTGATAGTCCAAACCAACCTGTGGAAAACCCATTGTTTACAACACAACTCTTAATACCATTATAAAATACATTTACCCAATGTATAACTGAATCACCAAAATTAAACAATTTCAATGCCTTATTTATAAAGTTCCATTCCAAAGTATCGTAAGCTTTAGAGAAGTCCACAAACATCACTGCCCCTGGGTGCTCATACTCCTCACAATAATCGATAACATCAGAGATAAGCCTTATATTATCCATAATTTTCCTTCCCGAAATAAAAGCTGATTGATCTTCGTGGATAATCTTAAGCAAAATATTCTCAAGACGTTTTGTAATGCACCTACTTGCAAGCTTTTAATCACTATTTAATAAAGAAACTAGTCTCCAATTGCCAAGATGAAGTTGGTCTTTATCTGGCTTTGGCAATAAGGTAATGACTGCCTGTTTTTGTGGCTTTGACATCATGCCTTCTCTATAACCATGATTGAGTGAAGCAACTAGTGTATCTCCAATATATTCCCCCCAAAAATAAATAAAACTCGGGGGGTAAACCATCGCTACCTGGCGTCTTATTCTGAGGGGCTTTTTTAAGCACAGCAAAAACGTCCTCCTTAGTAAGTGGGCCCTCGCACTGTAGTGCAATCTCATTTAATAAAATAGGAATATTTTCTTTTACGAAAAATAAATTATCATTCTCACTAAATTCCAAATTGTTTTTTTCTGATGTATAGAGCTCCTTATAATACCTATTAATTTCCTTTAAAATGTCCTTTTCACTCGTCAAATATTCATTCCCTTTTTTCAACTCAACAATGGTTTCTTTTTGAATAATTATGTTTCTCTAAATTCAAAAAGAATTTTGTACTTTTCTCACCATTTTCAAACCATTGAACCCTTGACATTACAATTGAACCTCTAATATTATTATCAATAATAGCATCTAATTCTTGTTTTTTTTAATTTCGTTTTGGGCTAATACCATCTCATCTAAATTTTCATCTATTTGTTCTTCCAAATTCTGTAGTTCAAGCATTAGTTCCTGTTCCCTATTTCGTCTCTCTTGTGCTTTCTTTTTTGAAAATTCAACTG